ATGGTAGACAGGGCAAGTGTTTTCATCACCATTTTTTCACATAAGAAAGCTAAGGCACAGTTAAGACTTGGTAACAATAACAAGGACACACTTACATAAGTGTTCCTGGCAAGGAGCTTCAGGGGAATCCTGTGTGTGTAGGACATTTCTTCTTCCAACATTTCCAAGGACCCCTTTCTCTCTGCCTTTCCCACTCAAACTCCTTGTATATGGTTATAGAGAAAAATTTAATTACCAGAAGATGGAAATGTGTGTGTGATTTACAAGTATATACATTATATGAATACTGAGAAGTATTGAACAGTCCTTGCTTTTATGTAGCAAATCATCTCACCCATTCCCAATGGAAATAGGATAGTTAAGTTTTCTCCTTTCCATCACCAATGGAAGCCTCGGTTGTGCACCTAACTTGTAATGCCTGTTTGCTCAGCTTCTACTGGAACTTCATTACAAGCATTGGTTTGGGGCCTTGCTAACTCTTTCTGGGTGAGTTGCACACCAGGTTTAGGGTTAGCACCAGCATACTGTGAGCACTGTGTCTCAGAGGAAAACAGAAAAAGAACTCTCTTCCATGTACCTACTGAAGTGATTTGGTATTTTCTCCCCCAACCTGGAGGATCAAGTAAGGTATATTTATATATCGAGGGGTACTTGAAAGAAAAGAAAATCCTGAAGTTAACAGAAGCATGAGCTAAAGTTCCAAAACTTGCCTTTTACTTAAAAAAAATCTACAGATCCAAAAGTTCTTTCACTTTTGTCTTGTTTTCCACTAAGAGAAAGCAAGAACTATCAAATCTTAAAGTTCATTATGAATTTGGTTTCAAGATAGCTCAAGAGCTGTGGACAATCAATTATTAGAGGGGAAGGTTGTAAAAAAAAAAAAAAAGTCACTGAATTACTGTGCTGACAAGATATCAAGAATATTTGTGAGAACATTAAGCTTACTCATTCAACATTTATTGAATACCAGTTTTGGGGGTGGGTTTTTTAAAACCCAGAGTGCACAGATAACAATTACGCTTGGACCTTGCTCTGAAATCCTCACAACAACTTGGGCTGACTGGCTCCTGATTTCCCTCTGCCAATAAAGGCTGTGGTACAACGTGCATTATTCCCCAACCCCTGCATTTGAACAATAAAATATTTTAGTGTGTGTGTTTCTGTGAACAGGGTAAAGGGATAACTGTATGAGTCAGTTTGTCACAAAACTCTAAATGCTTCCCTGCCCCCTCCAGGATCAGTTTGTCTTGAACAATGGAAAAGATTTTGTCTGAATAATGATTTGGATTTGATGAGGACAACCTGTAAAGAATTAACTGCTTATATACTGGAGGATTTTTGCTTGGTTGTACAGTTCTGGGTCCTTTTTTATGTGTTCTTTTTGCTTAGTTTTATATTCTTATTTCTTTAAAATATTTATATATTGCTTTTATAATAAAAAAGAGGAATCTCTTTATTCCGAAAAGAGAAAGAAAACCATTTAACTTACACCCAATTGATTTTTATTCTCAAAGTTAACAGAAAAATGAAAAGCACAATCGTCATTCTCTTAGTTGTTTGATTTACATGATGGCGTTGATGTAGTTTTTGCTCCATGGAATTCAGAACTTTGTCTCTTATGTTAAGCAGCATTTTTTCCCCCTTCTGGAATGTGTTGAAAGCTATGTAATTGTAGTAAAACTCACAGCTCTTATGAAACAATATTTCTTTTATTGTTCTATTGGCACAACACTGCTGGGGTTTCTGTTTTACGTGATCACACTCAAGAATCTGGAAGCTCCCCTACAACTTTGCTTTCATGTCAGTAGGAGAAACTGTTTTCATATCAACAGAGCAATGAGTCAGTGAAATCACAAACAGACTACTCATTTCTCGACATATTCGTGTGCATCAGAATACTTCATACCTTAACAATTTTATGAGGGATTATCACCATATTGTATGTGAATACATTTAGGCTAAGCAGTAAATCAGGATTAATATCTTGTTTCGTTTTTGCTTTATAACATTCAGTCCATGTTGAAGTAAGATTGTGGAAGGTCTTGCTTAACAAAGTAGGAGAATTTAACGTAATTCTGAAAGCAATAGGAGGTTATTCGATTTTTCTGAATAGGAGAATGGCAGTATTGAATGAACTTGAGAAAAATTGATCTATGATGACTTATTATTTGTGTTAAAAGGAAATCTTGGGGTAGGTAACTCATTTGCGATCTTTCCACAACAGAGCTATGAAGTCATAGAGTTTAAATTGGTGATGACCATAATGGTAGTAGAGAGTTTGAAAGAGCAGTTGGGAGAGCTGTTACTAGAGTTGACTATTCTCTACACAATGGTGAAAACACTAGATGTAAACTCCTTAAAAGGAGACAACTTGTCTGCTTTTATAACTTTTATATTTCTAATTCATAACACTATGCCTGGTACCTAGTAGACATGTAATAAATCTTAGTTGAACAAATTAAAATAAAAACAAATAAATGCAATAAAATGTAATGGGGCTGCGGCAGAGGCAGAAAGGAAGGCTTGGATTGTACCTGGTGGATTAGCTAGAGTACTCCAGGAGCACAGAGGGTAGAGAGGACATCAACACAGAGAGAGAGGCAGGCAGTGAGGTGTGAAACAGCAGGGTATGAGTACTGACAATCACCAGTGCTTGGCCACTTCTTGAGGGTAATGCACTGTGCAGAAGGTGGTAGATGCTGTTTCTAGACTTGAAGAATCTAGGTATCAAGATAAGGGATTTGGACTTAATGCATGTTTCAAAACAACTGAGTAACATAAAGAGGTTTTTATGTTATAGAAATATATCTGTGGAAATGAGTGAGAGGTTTAGTGACACCTTCTCAATGTTTAGAATGACACATCAAGAGATCAGAGCCAAGTTAGAAGGCTATTGCAATCTATGAAAGAGGTGATGCCGGCCTAGATTAAGCAAGCAGTGAAAGGGATAGAGATCAGGGCGAAGTTCTGAGAAAACGCAGGAGTTGGAAAATAAAAGACAGACTATGAATTAAAGGTGTAGAAGGGGGAAGCAGATAGTGGCGTCAAGGATGGATAGGGTGAATCCCACGGTTTCGCCTAATACAAAGGTGGTACAACATGCTTAGACATAGAAAACAGAGGGAGGAGGAGTTGGGAGAAGAAAATAATCAGTTAAATTTTAAACATGTTGACTTTGAAGTGTTGGAGGGCCAAACAGGTGGGTTGGTTATAGAGTGACCTGGACCATATAGTTTTGGGAGGTGTCTGGGTCAAAATTAAGACATAAAGTTGAATAATTCTGTAGCAAGAAGGCGTGTTGACAGAAAAGAGATTTAGATTGAGGCTGGAACTCTATGGAATACCCACAGAATATCCACATTCAGGAGTCAAGTGAAGGAAGACACATCAACAACAAAGACCAAACCTGAATGGTCAGGGATGTCAGAGTAGGACTAGAAGAGCCTTTGCATCAGATTGAAGAGTTTTCATAATTGAAAGCTCTAAAGTATCATGGGAATGTAGAAAATGTTAAGAAGGAGGAATTATACCATAAATGTCATTAAGATTCAAGGGCGATGAATGCTTAAAAATGACCATTGAATTTGACAGGTAAAAAGTCACAGGAAACTTTTTGTGAACTATTTTAGTAGAGTGATGTAACTAGGAGCCAGGCTTCAGTGGGTTTACAAGTCAACAACGACACTATCCTTTCAAACACTCAGTTGTGAAAAGGAGAGAGAAGAGAATGTCAGGATTGGAGTCCATGTTATTTTGTGTTTATCTGTTTTATAAGGATGGGGTGATGTGAACATGGCATCCAAATCTTTATCACCAGTCCTGGCCTGTCCCCTGACCTCAGAGTCTTTGAAGACGATGACTACTACTACTAATAACATCACTGGGAAATAAAATAAAATAAAAGAACTTCAGTCTCTGTCATTCCTTTATGACCTAACCTTGCCGTACAAGGGAGGACACCTCTCTGGTAATACCCAAATGCCTGCAGTTCCCCGAGCATACATTCGCAGCCTCCTTTCTGCTGCTGCTCCTGCTTTCTCCCTTTATCTGGAAGAACTTTCTGTACTTTCTTTGATTAGCTAACTCTTATTCATCTTTCAGTCTTATTCATCTTTCAGTCTTATTCATCTTTCAGGACTTCACCTAAACATAATATTTTTTATTTGGTCTTCTTTTTTTTTTTATCCTCACCCGAGGACATTTTTCCATTTTTTGTTCAGGTAGAGTGGGAGGGAGAGATAGGAAGAGAGAGAGAGAGAAACATCGATGTGAAAGGGACACATCGAGTGGCTGCCGCCCGCACGACCAACCAGGGCCGGGGACAAACTGCAACCGAAGTACGTGCCCTTAGCGGGAACCGAACCCGGGTCTCTCCAGACCGCAGGCCAACGCTCTAACCCCTGGACCAAACCGGCCAGGGCTGGTCTTCTTTTTAACGCTCCCATCATCTTTCAGGGTGGCTAAGTGCTGCTTCACTATACTGTTCTAGTGCCCTACACATATTACAATCACAGAATTCTCATACTGAATTGGAGATGTCCATGTGTGACTGTCTCCTCCTGGATTTAGAGCTTCTTGGGGTCAGAAATGATGCCCTGATCCTCCTGCCCCTTTGTATTTAGCATGTCACCTGGTACATGGTAACTGCTCAAATGCTTGTTCAGCTGGACTGAGCAGTGGAGGTGGGAAGGTAAAAATGCTCAAGAGACATAGAGAGAACACTACAAAGAGGTTTAAAAGAACTGGTAGAGGATGGAATAAGGATGCTATATTATGGCCTAGTTTTGAATAGAAGAAACGCCTTTAACCATTTGCATAAGAAGATGGAAACAGATATAAGTGCTAAGGAATAAAGTGAGTTTCAGGTTGAGGAATCTACTTTCTTTGTTAAACAACTGGCTGGACAGAGGGAAAGTGTTCAACCAAAATTTGGTAAAAATTGTGGCAGTGAAAAAACACATGGAATACAGCTGCTCAGAGAGTAGATGCGCATGTTAAACGCTATGACCCCAGGAACATTTTCTTCTGGAATGCACCATCTCTTAAAGACTCATTCATATACTTGAAATTCTTTTTCGAGGCCAAGTTTTAGGGGCACAGGTAGCATTTTCCTTGCCTATGTGCGCAAATGCTTGTGCCTGAAGACCTTGGCTTTCCTGCCAGGCTGCAGGCTTGCCACCAGAGTTGGGATTGGTCATGGTGATATTGCCGTTAGTAGGGTCCAGTGAAACATGACTCATGGCTAGGCTATCTGCACTGTGGGAAGAGTAACTATAAATTGTCTTGAGAAAGGCAGATTTTGTATTAGTATCTTGCTTACAAAGAATAACATAGCATTTGGGGAAGAATGTGCAACACAGGATCCCATAGTTAGATATTAAAATAACGATAATCTCTGCCGCTGGCAAGTATTTGCCAAATGTGGTAGCATATACAGGGATGAATGTGATCCAAGCTATGAAGTAAATGAGCATGCCAAATGTTATGAATTTGGCTTCATTGTAATTCTCAGGTAATTTCCTGCCTTTGAAGGCAAATATGAAGCAAATGAAGGCGAGGATGGCAATATAGCCCAGCATGGTGCCAAAGGCAAGGATGGAGCCCTCCTCACATTCCAGGATAATGACTCTGGGCAAGGAGACATTCTCTTCCACAGCAGGGCCTGCGAAGATTAACCAGAGTGTGCAAATGACCACCTGAATCCCTGTGCAAGTGAAGATGATGGGGATCGGTTTATAGAGGCACTTCAGGAAGTTCTGCAACTTGGGATCAAAGCTGAAGGCTAGCAGAATTTTCAGGGACTTTGTCAAAATGCAGGAGATGCAGAGGGTAAAGCTCACACCAAAGAGCGTCTGCCGGGTTTTACATGTGAAATCTTGTGGTTCTCCGATGAAAAAGCCGGTACTGGCAAAGTTGAGGAAATGACAGAGGAGGATCACGTAGCAGACCATTAATCCCCCGCATGATTTCACAACGGGTGTGTTCAGGTTTCTTGTAAATATTATGCCAACAGCCAGAACAAACACGATTCCCAGTAGGGAGAGTGCCAGGAGCAGGATAGCCAAGGAGTCATTCCAGTTGAGATACTCCACTTCCTTTTCAAAGCACGTAGTGCTCTTTGCAGGGGCCCAATGAGTTTCGTTGTTGCATAAAAGGCAGTGATCCATGTCTAAAAGATGGAGGAGATGCAGTTACATTGCAAACATTTAGACTACGTGATTGTCCAGAATGCTACAAATAGAATCCTTCTCAGCCATAGTTCAGACTAGAAAATGGATATAGATAATTGTCACAATGGTTACTTATTAGAATAAAACATGCACAGAACCCAACGAAAGTAAGAGAGAAAAGATGAAGGTGAGGGAAAAGGAAGAGGAGAGAGAGAGAGAGTGAGAGAGAGAGAGAGAGAGAGAAATCAGAAAGAAAGGAAGCCAGCTAGGCTGTGAGTCTTTAGAAAACTAATATACTCAGGATAGCCCTGGTTGGTTTGGTTCAGTACGTAGAGTATAGGCCTGAGGACTGAAGGGTCCTGCCTTTGATTCCTGGTCAAGGGCACATACCTGAGTTGCAGGTTCAATCCCTGGCCCAGTTGGAGTTGTGTGGGAGGCAACCAATTGATGTGTCTCTCTCACATCAATTTTTTTTTTCTCTCTCTCTCTTTCCTTTCCTGTTTGTTTGTTTGTTTGTTTGTTTATTTATTTATTTATTTATTTATTTATTTTTTCAGATAGAGTGGGAGGGAGAGAGAGGAAGAGAGAGAGAGAGAGAGAAACATCGACATGAAAGGGACACATTGAGTGGCTGCCACCTGCAAAACCCAACCAGGGCCGGGGACAAACTACAACGGAGGTACATGCCCCTAGCGGGAACCGAACCTGGGTCTCTCTGGACCACAGGCCAATGCTCTAACCACTGAGCAAAACCCGCCAGGGCTCCTCTCTCTCTTTAAAAAATCAATGGAAAAATATCCTCAGGTGAGGATGAACAACAACAAATAGGACTCACATAAACAAAAAATTACCCTGAAAGAAATGGTCCAGGTGTGTCACTGTACAGGTTGCAGTGACTGTAATTACCTGTATGATTACTGTAGTGATTTTCTGGACAGTTCACACATTCATAGCAGCAGATATGTTGACTTCTTGTGGTTTTCTTCATTTGCCCAGGACTGCATTCCTTGGAGCATTTGGATTGAATTTGCTGCACAGTGAAAAAAAATCCCAAGTAAATTTAAAAGATATTTATTCTAACTAATTTTGACTTTATTTGAAGATATATTTACTAAACAGTATTTTTTTCTTTTAAAATATAGTATAGTAGAATTGTTTTGTTATCTGGAGGAATGTGAACAAGTTTTTTAAAAAATACTTCAGATAGTAAAACTGCCTTGTGGGTTCTCTAGAGTAAACTTTTACTCTGACGTATCCATACTGCAGGAGGATGCTTGGAGAACATCGAAGGATTTAACTATGAGATAAGCTGGACATTATTATGGGGGTAAAAGAGAAACCCTTCTTCCCAGAAACATGGTCCCTCATATCTCCCAGCCCCCATAAGAAATGGCAAAGACATTCTAAAGTATTGATGGCTTTGCGATGTCAATAGATTTAGGATTATCTAATGTCTTGGATTATCAGTTCTGCTGAGTTACTAGAAATATTGATAGCCCAACTGGTCTGCATGTTGACAGGAGCGTCTTGAAACTAGTCCTAAATGATCTTAGGTATTATTTGTTTCTGCTGTCTCCTTGAAATATTTATGGATGTTTCCATCAGAAAGACAAACTTGTCTCTCTTTATGGCGATCAACCCCTTCCATTTAGTCACTAAAAGCTCCAATCAGTTACTTGTCATTGTGGAACTTCCTCTTCATTGAGTATCTCCCCTGCAAAGTCTGAAGATATCTTGGTAACAGAAGGATGGCTACATTTCTATCTTTTGAGGAAAGAGTATCTTGCTTTACTGAAAAGTAATGGAAAATTAGAACAAGGATAGTGGCTTGAAGCATTACTATATTTATTGGTTCATCCAACACATACTTGTGAGTGCCTATTACATGCCAGGAACTGCTGTAATTGTTGAAGCCATAGCAGGATTTACAGCATAAAAATCCACATTCTCATGGACCTTCCGTTCTAGTTGACAACGAAAAGATAAAAATAAGCAAAATGTACAGAATGCTAGACAATGATAAGGGTTAAGGCGAAAAACAGATAAGAGGATGTATAAGAAGTACTAGGTTTACATTGTAATTTTAAATAAGATGAGCAGGGATGGCCTCCCCGAGATGGTGACCTTTTAGGAAAGGCAGAAAGGAAGGAAGGCAGTGAACCACATGCCCAGGCAAAGGAAGCAGCAAGTGAAAGGCCTTGAGCTAGGAGAAGGGAAGGCAGGTACAGGAGAGGGAGAAAGCCTGTGGGGTGGTGTGAAGGGGCGAGCGTAGAGGAAGGCAGTAAAAAACGAGGACGGGAGGTCCCGGCAGCAGGTCATGTAAGGTTTTTAAAAGACATCGACTTCTGTTCTGAGAGAAATAGGATGTATAGCGAGGTTTCTGAGGAGAGTATTGTATTGTACAGGGTCAGTCTGGCTACTGTTTTAAGAACACATTGAATGGAGTAAGAAGGGAAGCAGAGACCAGTTAGGAACCTGTTGCCTTCACGTGGATGAGAGGTGACAGGAGCGTGGAGTGGAGTGGTGGCAACTGGGTAGAGGACAAAAATGGGCAAATTCTGGACCCACTTGAAAGTAAAACTTAGATGATATTTGAAGCATGACAGAAAGAAAAGTGACAAGGATCTCACCATTTTTTCCCCATGAGCAACTAGAAGGAAGTTGCCATTTATTGAACTGGGGTAGGTTTAGGAGCTCAGTGTTAGAGATCATTGGTTTAAGACTATTAGACAGCCAGGTGGAGATGTCCATTAGGCAGCTGTATATTTATTTGGGTTGAAATTTGGAAGATAAAAATCTTGGAGTCATTTATTTTTTATATGATGACATGGTTTAAATCCATGAGTCTGGCCCTGGCTGGTTTGGCTCAGCAGTTAGAGTGTCAGCCTGCGGTCCAGAGAGACCCGGGTTTGGTTCCCGCTAAGGGTGCGTATCTAGGTTGCAGTTTGTCCCCAGCCTTGGATGGGTTGTGCGGGTGGCAACCCCTGGATGTGTCCCTCTCACATCGATGTTTCTCTCTCTCTCTCTTCCTCTCTCTCCCTCCCACTATATCTGAACAAAAAATGGAAAAATGTCCTCGGGTGAGGAATAAATCAATCAATCAATCAATCCATGAGCCTGGATGAGATCATTAAAGAAAAGTGTGTACAAAACAAGGAGCAGTTCTGAGCTCTGGGATCCCCAATATTTGTAGGCAGTGGGAATGAGGAGGAACCAGCAAATGAGACTGAGAAGCAGTGGCCAGAGACAGGAAGAAAGTAAAGGGAGTGTGGTGTCATGGAAGCAAATAAAGCATTTCAAGGTGAGGAGAATAATTAGCTGGTGAGCAAAGTAAAATGATGTTTGGTGAACTAGACAGAAAGAATTCTGATGGATTGGAAAGAGTTCACAAAATTAGGGCCAGTGAAAATATTCTACTTTTTCAAGGAGTTTTGCCTTAAAGAGAAATAGAGAAATGGGAAGAATATGGAGGGGGTCAATGCAGTTTCTTTTTCTTTCTTCATCTTTTTTTCTCAAGATAGGAGGAATAAGATTTATATTATCATGTAGATAATATGGAAGAGCAAATATTCGAGGATGCAGGAGAGAGTGGAGAATTGCCAGAGCAATACCCTTGAGTAAGTGAAAGGGTCTGGGACCCAGAGGTCAAGTGAAGGAGCTAACCTTAGCTAGGAGCACAGATATTCTATTCATATTGCCTGATGGAAGACAGGGACACAGGCACAGAGGTGGTGGCAGAGGAACACTGGGGTCCTTTTCTGACCCCAGTTTTGTTAGTGAAACAGGAAGCAAGGTCAACTGAAAGTGAAGATGGGGAAGATGTTTCGGAGTCGGAGAAGAGAAAAGAAAGCATAAAATAGCCATCTAGCTAGGTGGGCAAGGTAATAAACTAGGGTAACAGTCTTAATTTCCAGCAGCATTAAGGCCTACTGGAGGTTAGAGATAATTAATTTAAAGTGAAAACGGTCAGCAAAATTTTTTTTGCCAAGTTCAGCTACATGGGAGTTCCAATGATTATGCAGAGACTTTAACTAGGATTTTACTCTGGCAAAATGAGTATGCTGAGAGAGAGAGAGAGAGAGAGAGAGAGAGAGAAAGAGAGAGAGAGAGATTGAGGGTATATATACAAGGGAGAAAAACACAAGTTGGCCATGGAATTTAAGGAAAGAAATTGGGGACAGGGAATAGGTCATGAGATCACTGGAGGTCCTGGTGGGGTCAAAGACTTTTCCAATTGAGTTATTAGTTAATTTGAATGCTATAAAGAAACCTACAACAAAATTACCTTAAGATCCCTGAACTCATTTTTTGTTTCCTGGTCAGTGACAATAAAGACATCGTTCTTCAGGTCATATTGTGCCATCTTGGTGATAGTCATGTGGCCGTTGATCTCCTTCCAGAGCACAACATCGTATCCAGTATTCATGTCCCCATGGGCATCAAAATGAAATGATTTCCCTCCGTCAGTGAATGTTACATTTTTCAGTACATCCAGTAACTATAAAAAATAATAATAGAAACAAACACTAATAGGAAGATTGTAAGTGTATCCATTTTATCAATTATAACAGTGCCTTACGAGGAGTATCACCTACAAATGAGAAAAAAAAGCCATCCTGAATCAGTGAGTTGTGAAAGTTCGTAACTACCAGGCAACAATTTGAGAACTCTAGCCTCATTTCTGCCAAAGTCTTGCTCTGGAAGGTAGCTTCTCTAATTTATAAAATTGGAACCCTTGCATCTTCATTTCTCCATAAGGCAGATTTTCAGAATGGGTCTTCTGGGGCCAATGTCTGGGCTCTAATTCAGGTTCCATTTCTCAATAGTGTGATCTAGACAGTTGCAATATTTTTTCTAGATCTCAGCTTCACCATTTGTAAATCTACCTTCTAGGGTTATTGGAAGGATTAAATATAGTTATGAATATAAAGAGTGTAACACAGTATCTGGTATAGATTAAGGGTTCATAAAGGTTATATTAATACCTGCTAATAACTGTCATTAATTAATAGGGACATTGTGCAAATAAATAAAATATTGTGCCTATCGACTAATAATGTCACCAGACATTCATATACTGCTTGCTAACACTCAAATACGTGATATCCTTTTACTCTATAACAACTTGGTAAAGTACATTGAACAGGGATCATCTTCCTCTTTTCTTTTATGAGAACCCCCTCAGCCAATGGGTGCAGGAACTTATCTGAGGACACACATCTTGACTTTCTTTCCATTGCACCTAACAGTATATTAATTCAAAGTCTTCTCACTATTTTTACTTTCTTACTCAAAAGTAATCACTAATGTGCCGTCTGGCATATAGAAGGCTGGGAAATGCATCTTTTCCTTCTAGAGTCACAGCCCGGCCTGAGTGGATAATCCAAGCCAGTTGTTGTCCTGCTCACCATCTCCAAAATGAAGGCTGGGGAGACAGGTGCAAACCTGGGAGACAATCTGGTAACAACAGCACCTTACTCTTGGGCATGTACTGAGTAGCCTCCCCATCGGAGAAGTTTATTTGATGGGTGTACATAAGGGAACTGCTAATGTCCACCCTAAATTCATACTTTGTCACACCTGGGGGAGGTGTGGATCTTATTACAGTGATACCTCGGTTCTCGAACGCCTCGGTTTTCGACCAAATCGGTATTCGACCAGGAGATTCGAGACTTTTGTCTCGGAATCCGAACAAATATTTGGAACTCGAACTTCCGAGATGAGCCGAGTGGAGCCGAATGGCGTTCATTCGGCCCAGCGCGCCTTGCTTGCGTCATCAGTGTGAGTGCAGAGAGAGAGTCACGCTTTGTGGAGTCCGCTTTCCTATGGTTTCATTGCTTCGGTTCTCGAACAATTCGGTTCTCGACCGTCCTCCTGGAACGAATTATGTTCGAGAACCGAGGTATCACTGTATCTCCAATGGTTTTCAACTCTGCTTCAGAGATTGAATGCATAGTATAGTGACTCCTAAATTCTATTTCTAATTTAATATATAAATGACTTATTTTAACTTGAGAGGATAGAAATGCATTGAAAAATTACTTGTCTTATCACCCAGTTTGTACAGGGAGCACATGTATGCAATGCGACGAGGACAGAGAGAAGTTTTCTGACAAATGAGGCAGCCACCCCGAGCTTGTGCTGCAGAAGAAGAGTACTAGACTAGGAGGGAGGAAGACAGCTTGCAGTCTGGCCCCACTGCTAAGCTGATATAAATCATGGCTAAGTAAATACCCTCTGAGGACATGCCAGGTCTACACATTGTCTAGGTCTATGATGCTATGTGGCTTTCGTTGGGTGCAAACGCTATGAAATGAGGCAAAAAATTATTCTATTTAAATAGAATTATTTTTATTTTATTTCATCTTGGTTAATCTTTTGTGAATGTTTCTTTCCTTCAATTTTTTTGGTCAAGAAAATCAAGTTATATTTTAAGGTAAATATATTAGCTGCGACAGCCATGTCAATGAAAAAATGTCACTTTAGGAAAGTCTCTAAGAATATTGATTTTATTATACATCCTCACAGATTTCATAGTTCTTGCAATGAAGGAAAATTAATTAATATTACATTAAAGAAGCAAGATATTAGCTCTAACTTGGTGAAATTAACCAAAAAAAATCTTATTCTAGCAATTGCATGGAAGAAAAAAAAAATAGAGGGAACAAAAATAAGAGAATAAGTGAAGGCCTACTGTCAATGTTCTCACCTGTACCTGTATATTGATTTTTCTTCTGTTTCTTCCTTAAGCAAAACAAACACATAAGCCCCAGTAATGCAGTTCTTTAGGGAGCATATCCTTTTCCCTTGTATTTGAACTATAATTTCCACCTGTTTTTTTTCCTGCATTTAATTAGGTTTTACAGGGTAAAGTTCTGACACATACACTTTCTGTAAATAATGATAACATTGTATGATGTAAATAAGTGCAATTCTATGCTTGTTCTTACAGGAAAGAGGGTGAAGGCAAATAAACCAGTGCATTAATTACTTGTTAAATATGATAGAACATTTGCTGTGCATTAAGGTACACTTTGTACATTAATGTTTCAGTGTGTAAACTGGTAAATGCTTTCCCACCAATTATGCATTTATTGTTCACTGAGACTCTGAAATTCACTAGAAATGGACACTACACAATGTAGAGAGTAAGATTTGTACTTCCATTACTAGCTAAATCACCTGTACATGATAATGGCCTGCTTTTGAGAAAGCAAGTCCAGGAGGCTTTGTTTTCCTTTTCCCTAACTGCTCTGATGTTCGCTGTACCTCCACAAGTGAGCTGTGCTTATGAGAAAGGGTATCTACACGAGTAAGTTATAGAATAGCAGAGGAAGCAGACCTGTCTCTCCCATGCCCAACCTGTTTTTTCTTTTGTGAAGCTTTCTGTGGTGTAGCGAAAAGCTCACTGGGCTAAAGCTGGGACAGTTTCACTACTAACCATGTGAGTGACCATGGGCTAGACCTTATTGCTGAGGTCCCCTTCATCTCTAAATTGTTGCAAATCTCAGTCACCAAAAAAACTTCCTCTAGTTGCTCCTTTCAGATGGAGTGGAGAGCATATGAGACCTGTGGATCTACCCTAACATTATACAAATTAGAGATGATGAATGTCAGTGCCTAGCAGAGTGGGCCCTAAAGTTTTCTAGTTATTATTTTCCTCATCACTCCAAAATGACTCTCTTCTTTGAACATATCTCTTCTGACTTCTGGACTAATATCTCACCACTATTGCTACACCAGAGTCTTATAAGTTCTTCAAATTCGACATCTCCAAAGTGGAATGCTATTTCCTCTTCCGATCAGAGCTTCACTTTTCTCTGTGTTTCCATCTCAACACATAGCACCAGTTGCCCAAGTTTTCAAATTATTTGCAGCATCTTTACTTCTTTTTATTTTTTTGTTAATCCTTACCCGAGGATAGTTTTCCATTGATTTTTAGATAGAGTAGAAGGGAGAGGGAGAGAGAGGGAGAGCAACATCGATGTGAGAGAGACACACTGATTGGCTGCCTCTTGCATGACCTCGACTGGGATCAAACCTGAAACCCAGGTACATGCCGTTGAGCAGAAATCAAATCTGTGACCCTTTGGTCCACAGGCTGACACTCTAATTTCTGAGCCAAATCGAACAGGGCTCTGTGTGTGTGTGTATGTCTGTCTATCATCCTTTATATACAGTTTCTCTCCATATGTTCTCTTCATCCTTTCTCTTCAATATCCATGCACAGGATGGGGCAAAAGTAGGGTTACAGTTGTGAGTATGTGAAACACAGAGTTGATTCTTTTATTATTATTTACTGATGTATTATTTTCCATAACAACAACAACTGTAAACCTACTTTCCCCCCACCCTATATATGTCTCTCCATCCTCATTGCCATACCTGTAGTACAAGGCATCTTAGCCTGAATTGCCACATTGGTCTTTCTCCCTTTAGTCCTATGTCCCTCTCACCAATGCTCACTGCAGTGGGAATGCTATTTCTATAATGGAAAGCAGATCACGTCACTCTCCTGTCGAAATGCATCTTTAATTGGCTCCCCTTTGCTCTACTAAGCCCCATACTAAAACATGTTTTGCAGACTTTCTATTTAAAGGATGGTCCCTGTACCAGCAGTATCAGCAGCACCTGAGAGCTTATGAGAAGTACTGACTTGCACGTCTCCGCCTGGAACTACTGAATTAGTACCTGCCTTATACTAATATTTCCAAACACTTCAACAGCACATCAAAGTTTGAGATGCTCTAACTGACGAGGCCCTCCTGATGGATCCTTCACTAACCCATCCAGTCTCATTTGCCTCTACTTTCCACAAACCTTCCTGTTTTATGACACTATTTTCTGCTCTGTTGGGATACCATGTTTCCTCTCCCTTTGGGCACTTCTACCCACCCATCATATTCACCAGGGAGGCCATGACCTTTGAGGATGTTCTCTGAATCACTCATGCTGGATCAATGGCCTCAATCACTTGTATTTATAGGGAACGTTGTAATGATCATCCTGCATTGTAGTCAGCCCCCGAATCGTTCGATTGTGTACTTCAGTGCACAGGTGAATCCTTTAGGGAGGAAACTGTCTTAGATTTTATAATTTTTAGCACTAAGTACAATGCCTGGAACATTGAGACATCCAACAAATATTTGCTAAATAAACGTATTTATGGAAGTTTGACTATTAGACCTTCTCTCATCCCACACACATCACTTACTACCTTGTATATCATCAGAGTTAAAATAAAATAAAATAAAACAGAAAGCCCAAATCACTGATTGTGCTGTTTCTGAATACTGCTCACAGATACCACCAAATGTAAAGGCAAAGTAAGATTATCCTTAAATATTGGGAAAAACTAAATTCTCCAGAGTTACTTGAATCTAAAATCATTCAGAAACTATCATTTAAATATTAGCGAATTTTGCAAGGGTCCAAAATGATATTTAGGAATGTATCTTTGATTAGTGACCCTAAATGTTGATGATCTTTTCGATGTAATGTCTATGGAGATTCTTTCATAAAAAGATAACATTATTTGCATTATTTGTCCTATCGAATATGGCACAGATGTAGCTCACTCACATCATGATCAAAGGAACAAGGCATTCTTCTCTTCCTCCTTTGCAATCTGTGTCTGTTTGTTTCTAAATAAACAGATTCCCTGGGACATAAAGGACAGCCCCAGGCTCCTCGTGTTTAAATAAAACATTTTAGCAGACTCAGATTTTACTATGTCCAGTCTTTTCCTCAGAATGTTTGAGATTTATTCCTGATTTAAAATATGTTCCTAGATCTTTAGAGGATAAGTAGCTCTTGTTATTTGTAGTTCTCTTTCCTTATGAGGCTTTTTGTTATTGTTGTTAATCCTCGCTTGAGGATATTTCTTTTCATTGATTTTAGATGGAGTGGGACAGAGGGAGGGAAAGAGGAAGGGAGAGAGAGAAACACATCAATTGGTTGCCTCCAGCTCAACCCTGACTGGGGTGGGGGATCAAACCTACAACACGGGTATGTGCCCTTGACTGAACTCAAACCCAAGACCCTTTGCTCCATGGGCCCACACTCTAACTGCTGAGCCAAACTGGCCAGGGCCTTATGAGGCTTTTTATGTCTCTTCCAATTTATCCTGTCTGTTCTCTATGATAGTCTATTTTTTCTCCATTACTCTTTCTCAGTCTCTCATTCCTAAAATTCCATGTTGTAGTTTCATTATGGTGTTCATTTAATTTATATTTTTTACCAGTTCTTTATTAAAATGTTATTCTAAAAAGAGTATGCTTTCAACAAGCATCTTAAAATCACTTAGGCATATAAATGTGTGTACGTGTGTGTGTGCGTGTGCGTGTGTGTGTGTATTCTAATTTTTAAAAAGATCCTAATTTCTAATCTTACCTCTTCATTAGGTTTTGTACTTCAAATTTCCAAGGTAAAAACTAGTTTTAAAATGAACAATTTAAAACACCCCATGACCATCACACGATCCATCTAAATGTAAGCTGATCACCTCAGACTTTGGAGCTGGTGCTTAAAGTAAAAATAGCCTGTCCTGGATTCCCACTTGTAAGAACAGAAGAGTTGAGTCTTATTCCCTTTTACTTTCTTTTCCCTTACAAATTTAAAACAAAGGTATTTTTTGGAACACGATTCTGCCTCAAGACAGGTAAGTTTGGCTGTGAATACACATTATTGAGGAATTTGTTTTTGATAAGTAAAATGCATCACCATACAAAGCAGCAAATTGCTGTTAAATGACTTGTTCATGGACATTTAAAAACACAATGGAGTCCTGGCCGGTTTGGCTCAGCGGTTAGAGCGTCGGCCCAAAGACCAGAGTCCCGAGTTCGGTTCCTGTAATAGCACTTACCTCGGTTGCAGTTTGTCTCTGGGCCCTGTTGGGGTCATGTGGGTGGTGGCTGGTTGATGTGTCTCTCTCACGTCGATGTTTCTCTCTCTCCATTCCTCCCTCTCTCCCTCCCGTTCTATCTGACGATGAATGGAAAAAAAATGTCCGGTTGAGAATAAAAAAAATTTTAAAAACACAATGGAAAATTTTCACTGAATAGGGCTCCATTAAGCTTTGAGTTTCTACAAACTAATCAAAGAGAAGAAACAGAAAGGCCTCTTTTACACACAATTAATGACTCATTTTAAACTGAGATATCATAGAAATTATTATGATTGACCTAAAAACATTCCTTTGAAGAAGATTGCAGTCCTAGAGAGACTGCCCTAAGTCAGAGTCATAACTGGAGGCTTTGGGACTATGAGACACCAGAGACATCATGAAAAGTAAAGGGCGTGGAGTCAGAAGACCCAGGCTAGAATCATAGTTCTGCCACTTCCTAGCTTAGTTTCCTCGTTCATAATATTCAGTAATGATAAGAACAATTATTAAGCATGTCTGGTCTGTCTTGTGTTTGTCAAGAGCATTAAAAGAGGTCATTCTTATGAAGCCTTGAAAAACTCTATATCAGATTCAAATCCATAAAAAAAATAGCACTATCAACAGAATCTTTCTGGAAAATGAAAGACCACTACTTGGTGGGTCAGAGTAGAAGGTGAAGATAAAATAATAGCTCTATTATCCTCAAAAACAAAGAGCAATTGGTAGAAATTCAGGTTATTCAAACACTGAAGGTGTCTACTAGCAAAATTAATATTAAAAGCATTCCATATAACGCTGCAAATTAAAGCAATGACAGAAATGGAGGAAATTATGAGGGAGAATTTTCTTGGACATGTGAGTTAGTACCTCCCATGGTTGAAAGGCGTTGGGGTTCTGACAGTCTCGAGCTTGGCACAGATCCCGGAGGGCATAACCAAGGGCAAACACAGCGAGCTGAATACTGTGAACAAGTCCTGGCTCAGTGTAATCCCACAGGAAGTCATTTCTCAAGGAGAAGTTCCTGTCTACATCCTTGTTAGCCTCGTAGGCCAAAGTCCTCTGAGAATTGTTGAAAATGCATGGACTCAAATCACTGTCTTTGACATAAGCACAGGCAGACAAGAGCATGGCGTATTCATTTAAGGGTTTGTTATGATCACTGGGAAACATATGTAGATTCTGAAGAAAGGATTGGAAAGAGGACACATTTCCTGTTCTAAACGCAAACCCTATGACTTTGCCAATCCTCTTAATATTAGGAATGGTGGTAATCTTGGTGGCTGTTGACCAATTGTCACTAGCAATCCAGACCTTATTTACATTCCTTTCAATGGCTTTACTGAAGAGACGGAAAACATGGAATTGCCTCAGAAATACCACAATGACATTAACATGGGCTTCTGCTATGATTTTCTCAAGTGTCTGATTGATCCTGATTTCAATGGTGTTATCGGAGAGGAATGCTGGCAGAACTTCTTTGAAGGCTATGCAAACATTATTCGCCAAGGTCTGAACTGCAAACGTGCTGAGAGCCAGTCTTCCATAGTCATCATCTGTGGTGATGATGCCAATCCAGTTCCATCCAGATTTCTGAATCAGGTGGGCCATTGCTTTAGTTTGGTAGAAGTCACTGGGCACAGTCCGTAGAAATGAAGGAAATCGAATTTTATCACTTAGGATTTCTGCTGTTGACTCATAACTCACCTGGAAATGGACAGAATCTTTTAGTTATTGTGTTGAAAAGCTCCAGATGGTTGTTCATAGTAGGCGTTGCTCTGTTTGATTTTTGTGAGTTTTCACAAACTTTTCTAAATTTTCTTGTCCTTTCCAGTCTTCCCTTTCAATGAACTCCAAGTAGCTTAAATCATGATATTTAGGACCTGGTGACTGTTTAGAGTCATTTCTCTCCAATTATTTCATACTGTGCATATTACCAGCCCTTTGAGGTTTCAGGCTCTATCTTATTTCTTTATCTGTACATCTACATCCCAGACCAGTGCCAACAGTGGATATTATTTAAATACTTAGAGGTAAATACAAGAAAAACACACCCAGTCAAAGAAGCAAAATGCATTTTGGGACACCTAGTATGTTCAAAATTTTGTCTAATTTATGGCTTTGGTGATTTTTATTTGAGATAAAATAAATTATCTAGCCAAATAATCATCCAGTCCATGGGTCAGCAAACGTTTTCTGTAATAGACCAGGTGTAAAATATTTTAAGCTTTGTTGGTTGGACATGGTTTCTGTCATAGATTCTCCCAATATTTAAAAAATATATAGAAATCATTCTTAGCTTGACCACTTAAGAGATTGAGAGGCACATTTGGTCTGTGGGCTATAGTTTTCCGACCTTTAATCTAGTCAAATAAGCATCAGCATTTGGGAGACCTACCTGATGTGTGCAGAGCTTTGCCTGATTTACAACTTCAGTGATTTTAGTCTAGGGAGAATTATTACCTTTCATACAGCTGCAATTGCTCAATGCCACTTGTTCAGTGAATATTTTTTACTTTTATTATTTACAGCACCCACATGATATGATGGAAAAACAAAACAGGCTTTAGAGTCAGAAAAATTGTAAAAATCCTGTCTTCAATAAATTTGGGAAAGTTAGTTAACATTTCTTTACCTAATTGTGAAGATTACAGGAGAGAATCTAAATGGGTGCTAGCCCTGGTGGACGTTCACTAAACCTTAGTTCCCTTCCTAGTATGATGTTGCCATGCCTGCCTACATTGTGGGAGCTGGGCTTCTGTAAAACCAGTTTTACCCATGGAGGGTCCCCTTTCCTTTTGTGTTGTCTAGTATGGAAATTACATTTCGACATTAAGCGATCATTGTCAAAAAATCTACGTTTCTTACTTATCACCTAACTAGCATTATACATAGTCTAGATAATTGAACCAAAGCCTTATCTCTGAGGTATTTGGAGGAATAATTATTTTGTTTTGCCATTTTGAATTTAAACTTTTCATTGCCATCTTCACTATAACATAATGGAATGCACAAGTCTTTCATGAATATATGCACTATTTACTCTAGCTCTAAAAGTTATATATTTTAAATTCTTTTGCATGTTTATTATATATGTATGTGTTTGTGTATATATATGTATGTGTACACACACACACACACACATATATATATATTTCTATCTTTTCTATTCTATCATTTCTTGGTAATCTGACTATAAGCCTTTTTATTTTCTTTGGTTTCTGGTCTTCCTTGAGTTTAGAAAACAGTGACTTACCGAGTTGCAAAGTGAGGTGATATGAAGGTAAGTAGCTCAAAATGAAAGTCAAGGGAACTTGCTTGACTCTGAGTAATATGCAAGAACTTAGTGCAGGGCTCTCTAAAATCTGCTCTGGTGTTTCAGAGACACTTTTGCTTACTACCTGGTCATTGGCTTGCATTACAGAGAGACATGTAGTTCCACAGTCTTTGCTCAAAGCCTTCTCATCATATTCAGAACATATGCAAATCATATCACAGCTTAGCAGATGCTACATGACCTGGCCTTTGCCTCTCTCTATAAACGCATCTCTTACTATGCTCCTTTCTGCTTAGCTGATCTAGCCATATAGACCTTTTCATTATTCTTTGGACATGTTAACTTTGTACTTGCTACTTTGTCAGCCTAGTCACAGCCCTCCCCTCTTCCATCTTCCCTAGGCTGCCCCTTCTCAATCAAGTTTTAAGCTAAACACCATCAGAGAATTCTTCCTTAACCTCCATTCACCCTTACTTCTCACCCTCCTGTTTTCTTTATAGCACCTGACTGAATGTTATTTCAGAAACAAGGCATTTGAGGTCCTCAGAGGTTTGTGCCAGGTCAAATCGTGCTGAAAACTGTGAGAAATTAGACAGGACAGATTGAGGGGTGACTACTGTTTTAGTGCTTGGTCCATTATCTCTTCCACATAGAGAACATCCTTTCTTTGAATAAGAGAAAGGGAAGTTAAAGTAAAAGCAATTTTCAAACTCGTTTCCCAGGTTACCCTGACCTTTCATAAGAAAGAGGATAAAAAAACAATCTAGGGTGGTAGAACAAAACCCACCTGTGGCATGAGCTGTAAATTCAATATCCTGGAGACAGCCATGCTGATTTCTGAGTAGCCAGCCCCTATGACAGCCTTAACCCTGGGCATGTAGCTGGAATAGTCACACTTAAACTCCACAGTATCTCTGGAGCAGTTGAACTTGGAAAGAAACCTTAGAGCAGCTGCCATTGCCACTGTGACTTCAGTACACGTGTCATAGATTTCGTACCCCAGTTTGACTCCAGATAATAATGTTGAATTATTGATCATCTCAATGCTATGTATCATGGCAAGTGTTTGAAGAAAATTTGATATATCAAACCTGTTGAGAAACAAGAATGTTTTAAAATTAGAAATTAACTTTTCTATAGACCTGGTGATATCTCATTTTATCCACATCTCTGCCTTATAATAGACAGTTCCTGGATCAATGAAACTTACCTCTTAAAGGGTCTAAACTTTATTTATTTAAAAAATAATTTTTGATGGAAACCTTTCTAAAAAGGTGTATGGAAACCCACAGCTTCTCAAATGAATTCTGTGGAACAGGATTTAACCTTTTCTTAATGAATTTTGGAATAATTTTGAACATTTGGTTTAGTATTCTACAGTATGAAGATGTGTTAGATTTTTTTTTTTGAAGTTAAGATTTATTGCTTTTAGATTCACAAGCCTATCTTTTAATTTTCTCATTCTAATCTATTGTGGTTGAAAATCAGATTAATAAGGCTCCTATAAATAATTTACAAAACAAGCTCTGAACAAAAGCCCAGTAGCCTTCTCCTAGATGAAGTACATAATTTTAGTTATAAGGCATAGCTATTTCCTATTTCAAAGGGCTTTTCCAATTGACTTCTAGTCTAGATTTGTGATTATTCCAGAGTACTGAGTTGTTTGATTACTGATTTACTGTTAAGTTTACTTCATTCATCACCATATACAAAAAGTTACAAATAGTCTAAAGCATAGTAAGGGTTCAGTAATGGTTTATATGAATAAAAGGGAATATTATTGTTCAGGGTTTTGCTCTTCTGAAGTTTCCTCTTAATTCACTGAGTTGTGAAAAATAAAACTATTTGAATAATATTATTTATCATTGTGAATTATCTAAATGTGAAGTTTGGAAAATTTGCATTAAGTTTTTAATTTAAAGAAAGACACAAAGAAGAAAGGTTAAAGTAATGAATGTCTACTAATTAAAATTAATAATAGCTCTGGTCGATTTGGCTTAGAGGTTAGAGCATCAGCCTGCGGTCTGGAGAGACCCAGGTTCGGTTCCCACTAAGGGCACATACCTTGGTTGTAGTTTGTCCCTGGCCCTGATTGGGTCGTGTGGGTGGCGACCACTCAGTGTGTCCCTTTCACATCGATGTTTCTCTCTCTCTCTCTCTCCCTCCCACTCTATCTGAACAAAATATCAAAAAATGTCCTTGGGTGAGGATAAAAAATAATAGTAATAATATTTTCAGCCCTGTTGGTGTGGCTCAGTGGTTGGGCGTTGACCCATACATCAAGAGGTCATTGGTTTGATTCCTGGTCAGGGCACATGCCCAGGTTGTGGGCCAAATCCCCAGTGGGGAGCATGCACAATCGATGTTTTCTCTCATCTATGTTTCTATCTCTCTCTCCCTCTCCCTTTCTCTCTCTCTAGAAATCAATAAAGAAAAAAGAAATTAAAAGAAAAAAGTATAATATTTTCAGAGCACCCCACAAGTTAGCTCCATGAGTTTCAGAACATCTTTGGTGTGTCACCCCAGTATCCTCAGTGCCTAGAATTGGGCCTAGGTAATATACGCATTTAATAAATAGTTGTTTACTGTTGAATATTTTTCTCAAGGAGTGGCAAGAAGGTGAAAGGATGTTCAATTTTAGTGATATTTGCTTATTAAATCAAATAATTCTTCAGTGTTTTCCATTCTTAATTATTGGCCTACAAGTGTGGGCCTCAAATCTGTAGTCCTTCTTTGGCTACAAATTTAGTGTTATGAAAAATCTTCATTAATTATTTCAGGGGGTTTCCTGATATTCTTGATAAACAACAATTATGATGACAGTAGCTCAACATGCCCAGCTTCTAAGTTGAATGCCAGGAAGACATTTCAGTGTAATGTGGGGTCACATGTTATCTGAACGTACTCTTAGAAAGATTGGTAAATACTTTACAAGATAAAATTTAAGTATAGTTGGTGTACAATATTAAGTACTTTTTGATAAAGACAAAAAAGGGAGGGGAAATGAGGAGAATGAATTTACACACAAAAACACCAAGATAGAAATTGGTTAACAATGAGATTAGAGGTTCTTCATATTAAATATGATGAACTACCTTGGCAGGTGTTGCTCAGTGGTTAGAGTGTCTTCCTGGATACCAACGGGTCATGGGTTTGATTTCTGGGTTGCAGGTTTGATCCACAGCTCCATTGGGCTGCTTGTGGGAGGCAACCATCAATATGTCTCTCTCACATCGATGTTTCTCTCTCTCTCCTCCTCCTTCTCCTCCTCCCTCCCTCCCTCTCTTCCTTCTACTCTCTAAAAATCAATGGAAATATATTCTTGGGTGAGGATTAAAAACAAAAAATAGGATGAAGTAATGAAAATAATTGCAAGCAATGAAAATACCCAGAATAAATCTTCCTGGGCTTAAAATTCAAGAGAAAGTAGAAGAATAAGAAGTTGTGAGTAAATATGAGATTATGCGAAGATTCACAGTTATTGGGAATTTAGAGTGGAAGACAACCTCAGTGGAGAAAAGAGTGTCACGAAATTAAATGACGACAATAATGGAATTATAAGCTATGAACAAGTAATTCATAGAAAAAAAATGTAAACAACCTTTAAGCAATCGAAAAGATATTCAAGCACGTTTAGATTATAGAAATTAAAATTTAAAAATATCATGAGTATAAAACGATACTATTTTTTATCCACAAGATTGGTAAAAGCCAAAAGACCACAGTCTTTGTTGGCAAGACATATTCTCATATATTGCTGTAGGAATAAAAAAAAAATCTATTAAAAAAGTTAAATAAAAATTATAAAACTAAAAGAGGTTTTTATGAATTAATGGTGATATGCGTCATGAACTGAAAATAATGATAATCTCAGCAATGTACCTAAAATTAAATAAACAACACTGGTATGTAAAAAGTAATACTTGAATTTAAATATTAAATAACGTTTAGCATCAAACTTCCCAACTATATATAACACATATTTTGCTGTTTACATGCCTTTAATAAAGTACAATATAATCACATAAATTATTTATTCATCTGTCAAATATTTTTAAATTTCACACTTCACTCTAAGGACTGCTTTTGGATGTTGTAAATATAAACAAATAAATCAAATATACACCATCTTGCCTTCAAGCAGCTTATAATACAGTCAATAGACAGAAACTGAGCATACAGTTTCAATTCAGAACATTAAGATAGAATGATGCACATATTAGTAGGAGAAAATTAAACAAAACAAAAATAAAGAAATTGGGATGTTTGGGATGTTTGTGATGTTAGTGTTAAAAGGAAGCATGGGATCAGATTGCCATAGCTACGGAAGCTGAGGCCACCTGTGTCCTTAGAGGTTCTCCAGGCTCCTTATTTTATAGACGAGGACACTGGAAACTGGAACCCCAAGAGTTTGAGTTGTTTAAGTCTACAAAACTAGTTCGCCCCCAAACTGAAATTAGAATTTACATATCCTGCTCTCTTAAAGAGTATGGAACATCCTCTACCCAACTTTGTTTTCCATGTTACACTGTGTCCAGTGTCTTTTCTTTAGTCCGGGTTTCACCATGTAAAGTGTTTATCAAGGAAGGAATACTTTGAGTTGAGGTAGGGCCTTAATTTATCACAAAACAATTACATTTTTTCAAAAAGGAAAAAATAAATACAGTGTCAACAAAAATGTTAATGTAGAGAAAAAATGTAAATGTAGTCTATTTTAAACAAAGAATTAAATAATAGATCCATGTTTAAAACAAAATGAATATTATGTGTGCTTGTGGTGAACAGACTATGGTGCGTTCTTACTGGTGTTCTCAAGTGACTGCAGAGATTTTTTTTTAAGGCAAAATACATATAAATATATTAATAAAAAACATTCATTGCTTCCGTACTCGGAGGTTAGCATTCATAGATCTCTTTTTAAAGGAAGCATAACAAGACTATGTGGACTTAAAACTATGAGAGCTTAAATTTTACTAAAACAAATTAGATGTCAATACAAGTACAGATTTACATACCTAGTCTCACTGTGCAATCTTGAAATTTAATTGTGTTCTTTCAGGTTTTACTCACCCAACACATTTCTGGATTTCTGGTCGTCTGGGATAGTCTTCTGAGGACAGCATTTTTTCATGAATGGCGATCAAACCTCCAATCATGATGTGTCCCGGAGAAGTGGCAGCCACAAAGTCATCAGGGGTCTGGCAAGGCTGGGAAGTAGCAAGAATAATTACAAAGCAGGTAATCAGTACAATCAGTAATGCCATGTTCCTATCTCATTTGCTCACTTCATGCAAGTTCTTAGGAATCATTAAGCTCACAGAGTGCCAACAACATGTAACTATTTCACCTGTAAACACTGTGTAAGGTATAGGACAGTGTCAAGGGCCAGAAACACTCAGTATTCAGATACTGATGAAAGTCAAAACAGTTCTTCACCAATAAGAACATATCAGACTTTCTAACACTCCTCTGTGGGGCATGTGTAAGAGCAGGAATGCTGGGTACAAACTCATAGAACTAGAAACAGAGGAACAGGACTGCATTTCCAGGGGTATCATACTCAAGAGACAAAAGCTTTAATGTTGTTCACAAACTGTTTAGAAAAATAGAATCAAAAAGGAAAAAATAAATACAGTGTCAACAAAAATGTTAATGTAGAGATCCTGCTTTGATTTTCTTGGAAAAGCTCTATCAAAAAAAAAATAAAATCCAGTGAATTTTAGGTGTTTATCGTTTCCTGTTTACATGTGTTAGAAATAAGTAGCTTTAATAGTGATGAGCAAAATAAAAAAGCGAGGTGAAACTTGTCTGACATACTGTTTTGCTTTTTTTTTGGTACGTGCCCCTAGAGAAAACTGAACCCAGGACTCTGGTCTGACGTTCTAACCGCTGAGCAAAACTGACCAGGGCTAATATTTTGCTTTGAACAAGAAATGTCTGTCGTGGATCATTGACAGTTCCACAGTTTGTGGATTTTATTTTATTTCAGTCTATATATTGTCAAAAGCTTAGGAATCTGATCTAACATGATGTGATGGATATAATTTGGAATTTGTGAAGAATAGACAAACCTCAGTAAGTTAGGTACCATTAAGAAAAAGTTTAGAATTCTAAACTCTACTTTTTAAAATCCATCTTTTTCAAATATTGGATTATTATGGAATATATCATGGGCAAGCAGTTCCAAATCCAATATATGCAGTTTGTTTGATGGGCAGCAGACATGTTTAAAAAAATTTCAGAAAATAAAAGAGTAGAGTGACTACTAAGGTATTTTTCGTCATCCAAATTAGCTTTTGTTGCCATTGGCATGTGGGTTATGACGAGTGAAGTTACATTTCTTCACACAGTGTCAAATGTTCTTTAAGTCTTAACCATTTTCACCAGTGGCAGGATTTCTTCTTAGGATCCAAACTAGTTAACTTCAGTTGTCAAGAGAGTTTAATAAGTACACATGAGTTTGAAGACTCTTCAAATGTTTTGCATTTGCATTTTACCCATCTTAACCATAACATGCATTTGTATGTGCCTGTGCATGTTTGCAGTTGGATACATTTATGTTTTTATGCTTTGTAGTGGAGGTTGTTTTGCTCAGATAACCTCCAAGTTCTTCTGTGATTATACTTTCAAAGATGAGCTTTGGTAAAGATACACTAAAAAATAAGACATTGAGATAATTGTTCAGCAATAGTATATAGTAGGTATTAAGCAAACTACAACCCAAGTGTGACCATATTGCTCAGACCTGACTTTTATTTGAAAAATCAGTGACAAAGTAATATCAAGTGATTTCTATTAGGTTACAATTTTAACAATATTTAGGGTCTTTGTTATCTGAAAAAGCTTAAAGATAACCTACATTTTCTTATTTAAATGTATATAATGTAGGTTGGAAACCTATTTCCGTAAGGTGCCTTCTGAAGGTAGGAAGAAAGGTTCCCCTCCCTTGTAAAGTGCAGTGTCATGCAGCGGGAAAGGTTCCAGGCCTGGCTCAGACTTGGGTGGCTTTGCCCACCACTTAGCATGTGACTATGAGTGAGCTACTTCACTTTTCTGAACAACAATTCTCTTGTTTATAAAATAGGTAAAATACTCATATCCCATAAGGTGTGTTTTGAGACTTGCTGAATCAATTTGTAAAGCTCCCACATTCTGTCAGGCATTTAGTTATTAGCTCTGGTCTCATTAGGGCTGCTATAGCAAACATATCATAATCTGGGGGCACCTAAACCTCAAGCATTTATTTCTCTGGAAAGAACACAAACATTTATTTCCCTGGGAAATTCAAGATATTTTTCCTATAAACCTCACATGGTGGAAGGTGCAAGGGAGCTTTCTCAGCCTGCTGTTAACAGGACACTAATCCAATTTAAGAGGGCTCTGCCCTCATGACCTATTCCCTTCCCCACCTCCTAATATCATTGGAGGCCACAAACATTCAGAACATACAGCTGCCTTCTTCCTGTTCCCCAAACCAGACAGCAAGTTATTACTTCTTAAATTAGGTGTGCTTTCTACGTTGATTAAATCATTGTTCAGAGCCCTTTCTCAAACAGTTATCTGCAGAAGGTGGTGGGTGGTACAGCGATGGCAGGGGCTCACGGAGAACCTCTGGACTACGCTACACAAGCAGCTGACTTCTCTTTCTGATACAGAGCAGCCAGGCAGAACAGGTCAGAGTGCTGACTCTGGAATTAAAGAAGCAGCCAACACCAATGTTATGAAGGTAGATGCCAATGTCTACAGCCTAGAGGGGAATAAACAGAGGTTAGGAATGTATTCTGATCCATCAGTTCACATTGTTAATTTCCTTTAGTTTTCTTTCTTTTTCCCCCCCCAGGGATGCATAAACATATATTTGGCTAAAACAAGGAAGTATTCAAAGCACCATACCACAACTACATTTTATTCAGTCAACATTACATTTCAATTTGTTTTTATGTTTATAGTGTGCTTCTTTTCCACAAGAATTCATAGCAGGAGAGATTATAGCCTAAAGAAAACAACTCCAAGCCATAAATCCTATGATTAGGCAATTTCGATTGGCATCTATTGTGTTTACTTACTTTTCTTTAAATATTTTTTTATTGATTTTTTAGAGAGAGAGAAAGGGATAGAGAGATAGAAACATCGATGTGAGAGAGAAACATCTATTGGCTGCCTCCTGGACTCCCCCTACTGGGGATTGAGCCTGAAACCTGGGCATGTGCCCTGACCAGAAATCGAACCAGACCTCTCAGTCCATGGAGTGATGATCAATCCACTGAGCCACACGGGCTGGGCCTTACCGTACTTATTGTTTCCTGATTTTTTATGTGCTTAACTATTACCTCTTCAACTAAATAGATGCTTTTTGAAGGCTGGAATAGGGCTGTATAGGTCTTTGTATATCTCATAATTCAGTGTATAAGAATACAGTATTGTGATGTATTTAACTGCATTACAAATATATTGCTCAGTTTGACCATCTTACCAATCATCAATAAGCTTATAGCAGACAGATGAGCCCCAGATAGCTAATCTGAGTTACAATATTCAGTAGATGTGATCAGTAGCAGCTTTCAGAGTTGATTACTATCATCATTCACTTGTAAGAATGAAAATACAAGTTCATAGGACTACTGCCTGAGCAGCATTGAGTACTAGAAGAATACCATTGACTATAAATCACAAAGTTCAGCAAAGCTTCAGCTAAAGGTAAAATTACATGGCAAAAGCTTAAATCCCCGATGCATCCAATTGGGTGTATATCTAAGCAATTTACTTCATTTAGTTGGTTTTCAAATATATCAATAAGATTAAGGTTGGTCCTTCACAATGTTATAACTGAGTCAGATTTTGGTTCTCTGGCATTTTTTCCCCTATCAGGTATTTACCCACCTCGTCTCAGTATTCCATCACTGTGCTATTCCATAGTGAATTGTCCTTCATCACTACAACACTCCATCCTACACCATCTTCTCTGCTGTACTTCTGTCTATAACAGAAATTTATCTCAGCATTTTGATTATATATAGCTTTAATATTAGGTGACTATCTTTCATGTGCAACTTAGGTGATATTCTACTTAGGGGACTTCATGGAATTCGGTGAATCTCTTAAAGTTGTATACAAATTTTGAGTGTATGTGGATTTTGGGGGGAGAGCATTCAGTGCTTTTATCAGATTATCAAAGAGGTGTGCAATGCCCAGAAAAGTTAAGAACTGTCTAGCAGAACAGACTGGAGCCCTGCTTCCCAGGAAACACAAGAATGTCTTCTGAGATAATAAGTCTGTCTTTGTTGTTACCAGTTTCTAACTCAAATCATCCTCACTTATCTTCATCATTTGCTTGATACACATCACCATTTAATTCCACCAACTTAAAGTATTTTAAGAGCAAAGCATCATCACCCACAAATCACTTTTCTTCCATTTCAGATTAGAACTCAGATCACTACCCTAAAAATACCAGACCTACTTACTACAAAATGAGGTGAAGGATGGTTGTTTCCAGGTGAGGTTAAACAGAAACAGACTATATGTAGTGTTTTATTGGTTCAGAACAGGCCAGATGTTCAATTTTAAATATATTTTTATTCTCTTTATTCGTTTTTTCACCAATTATACAGAAAATGCTAATTGTTATTAAAATAATTTTTTTTTTTGTAACTTGAAGGGGTGTGTGTGTGTGTGTGTGTGTGTGTGTGTTCCTTCCCGCTTCCAACTCTCTCCTAAGGGAAGAATTTTAATATTTTAGGTTACCTTTCAGATCTACCTTTCATAGTATCATTGGCATGGTAATGTAGCATTTCATCATCTACCTTAGTTTGGATAGTACAGTTCCACTTACAAAATACTTCTTTTATTGATCTTATCACTAATTGTAAAATAGGCAAAGAAATAAAAATCCACAAAGATCTACTTCAGTATTTAATCATTGCCTTAGTCTTACTTTTATGTTAACTAAATATTTCATATTGCAAACTATATTTTATTTTCAGTGGAGTTATAGAAAAAGAAAAAGTTCTTTTGTGTAACAAGTTGCATATGTTTGAAAGCATTTTTAATAACAAGCTAAATTGTAAATTCAATAGAAAAACAAATATACCAAATCACTACTTTGGTGCTTTGATATAATTAGTTGATTGAATGAACTTCTCACTTTTCAATCAGTTTTTTCATATGTATAGACATAGTCCAAGTCAACAACTTAGCCTTCCGTTCTCCATGGTTATAAAATTTATTTTCTTCAGGAATTTACAAAATACACACCTGTGTCCTCACACTCTCTAGTCAACATTCTGCGCACAGCAGATGCTAACATTGCTTGTAAGCCTATTCCTTCTTACCCA